GGTCTCAAACTTGGGATCTTCCTGCCTCCATTTTCTGAGTGCTGAGTTTAGAGGTATGAACCATCGTGCTCAGCTTTTAAATTTCAAATTTTTATTTTATTTGTTTATTGGACTTTCATTTTTGATACGGGATCTTGATCAGATCTGCAACTGAAAGAACCAGTAGTCCCTAGAACTTTCTGAGTTAGATTATGCAATAATATCATCTAGCTGGTTTGCTCTAGTTGAGACTTTTTTTTAAAAAACATTAGCATTTGAACTAAACTGCAAATTCTAAATTTTGGACAGCACATTAAATAGTAGGAGGTCACCTGTTAAGCAAGTGGCAGCGTCATTTTCACGGCCCCACATCAAAGTTTATGTGGTTAAATCGGTATTTAACTCCTCTGCTGGTGTTTGTGTGTACAATCTGATCCTTTACATGTTACTTAAACATTTATGCAGGTAAATGTTCAGGCGGAGTTGTTGTGACTGAAACCTAATATCTGGTTTGCATTTTTACAGTATGAACTCACAGACCCAAAGACTGCCAACATCCTGTCTGTTTCTTGATGCATAAAACAGTGAGGTCCGCCGGGCGGTGGTGGCGCACGCCTTTAATCCCAGCACTCGGGAGGCAGAGCCAGGCGGATCTCTGTGAGTTCGAGGCCAGCCTGGGCTACCAAGTGAGTTCCAGGAAAAGGCGCAAAGCTACACAGAGAAACCCTGTCTCGAAAAACCAAAAAAAAAAAAAAAAAAAAAAAAAAAAAAAAAAAAAAAAAAAAAAAAAAAAAACAGTGAGGTCCATCACCAGGCTGAGGCTGCTGTTGAGACTCAGAGTGTGACTACCAGGAACGCTTCCGAGTCACACTAGAGCAGAGGACCTGGAGAGAGCGGATAAAAGCAGCCTTCTGATTCTGAACTAGCAGATTTCCTGATACACACATTGACAGAAAAGCCCCATGATGTGGCAGTTTAAAGAGTACTGCTCACGACTTTTCAGGTATTTCTGGGGACTGACTGCCCTATAAAGGATTTTTCATAAAGAAGTCGAAGTTACAAAGAAGTCACACCAGTCACTTCTCTCACGGCTGTGATAAAGCTCGCAATAGGAACGACTCAGGGAAGGAGGGGTTTTTTTAGAGTCATTGTTCCAGGGAGTGCAGTTGGTCACGGTGGGGGAGGCACAGGCGGAATGCCTGCTGCTTTGAGTCCACAGTCATGGAGCAGAAGAGAGACACAGGTGCTAGCCCTCAGCTCACTTTCTCCCTCTTATTCAGGTTGGATCTCCAGCCCATAGAATGGTACTGCCAATCTTTTTTTTTTTTTTTTTTTTGGTTTTTCGAGACAGGGTTTCTCTGTGTAGCTTTGCGCCTTTCCTGAATCTCGCGCCGTAGACCAGGCTGGCCTCGAACTCACAGAGATCCGCCTGGCTCTGCCTCCCGAGTGCTGGGATTAAAGGCGTGCGCCACCACCGCCCGGCTTTTTTTTTAAATTAAGATCATTTTACTCTTTTAAAAAAAATATTTTAATATTTATTTATTACATATACAGTGTTCTGCCTCCATGTATGCCTGCACACCAGCTCTCATTATAGATGGTTGTGAGCCTCCATGTGATTGCTGGGAATTGAACTCAGCACCTCTGGAAGAGGAGTCAGTGCTCTGAACCTCTGAGCCATCTCTCCAGCCCCTGGTATTGTCAATCTTTAGGATGAGTCTTTCCACTGCAATTCACCTCACCTTGAAAACCTCACAGTCATGCACTGGAATTGTTTCCATGATGACCCTAAACGCCACCAAACTGACATCAAGATCATCGAAGAAACACAGCTTGGGCAAACTCAGCTGCACAAACACAATCCGCCACTCTTTCCTAAACTTTTCACCACTTCTGTCTCAACAAATTAATTAGTCTCAAAGTTAACCCTTGGGTTACTTCAACCTAAGAATGCTGTCTGAAGCCAAGCAGTGTCGCTGAGAATGTGACCTCAATAGTCACCCCACACAGTCTGTGTGAACTCACAACTCCAAGAACCCTCACAGCTTATAAGGAAGGAAATGCTGTGAGTTTCTGGTCATACGGAATCACTTCTTGGAAACTGATGTTTTAAATTGTAACTGTGGGTTAAATATAGAGTATGAAATGTGCATGTGTGTCTCTTTTCTCAAGATCTATATACCTGAAATTTGCAATAAGGTCCAAACTGTAGTGGAACATTTAACTAGGCAAAGATGTGTTACATTTGTTTATGTTGTGAAGTATTACTTTAACTGTGTAAAGATGTGTTACATTTGTTTATGCTGCATTTGTTTAATTATGAAAAGATGTGTTCCTGATTCACCTTGTCTGCCTAAGGCACCTGATTGGTCTAATAAAAAGCTGAATGGCCAATAGCTGGTGGACAGAGAGAATAAGGAAGAGGAGAAATCTAGGGAAGAAGAATGAGGTGGAGGAGGAAGAAAGAGAAGGTCACACTTACGGCCAGAAGCCAGGCAGCCACCTGCAGGAAAGAAAGATAGAAAGAAAGAAAGAAAGAAAGGAAGGAAGGAAGGAAGGAAGGAAGGAAGGAAGGAAGGAAGGAAGGAAGGTAAAAAGCCCAGAGGCAAAATGTAGATAAAGAGAAACAGATTAAAATAAGAGCTAAGGCTAAGCATTCAAAGAACATAATAAGTTTCTGTGTCATGATTTGGGAGCTGGTTGGTGGCCCCAAAAGAAAAAGCTTGGTACACCAAACATTTATTTTTAAATGTACTTGCTTATTTAATTTTGAGACAGGGTCTTGCTATGAAGCCAAACCTGGCCTTGAAATCATAATCTCCGTCTCAGTTTTTTAAGTCAGATCACACATGTGAACCATGATGTCTGGCTTCAAACACAGTAATAGTGTCTGTCTGGGTGTAAGTTGACTTGTGATAAAATTAATTCTATAAGGAATGAAAAAAAAGAGAGAGAGACAGCCCATGTGTTACTTGCTTTCGGACTTTCCTAGTAGAAGAATCTTTGCATCAATTGCAATGGGCCACTTGGTATAGACGTTTAATAGTACTGTTGCTTACTTTGTATAATTTATATAAAATATTAAAGCTCAGAAAACACTCATTTATGTCATGGCTGGTCATGCAGGTGCTTATTTGTACATTGCTGGGTTCAAACAGGTTTATAAATTTACATTTACTTATTTCCATTCCATGCTGCAGTCTAGGCTGGACTGGAGTTTGTTTAGATAGCCTAGGATAGCCTTAAACTGGAAGCAAGCTTCCTCAGCATATTGAGTGCTGGGATGACAAGCCTGAGTCATTATATCTGGCCTTTTAAATATTTTCAAGTGTGAAATCCAGACTGCAGTCTGCACTCCTGGAGTTACATGCAAAAAATAGATGTGACTAGCAAACGTGCTTTACTTTTTATGTAGGACAACACTCGCACTGCGTAACCCTGGAACTACCCCATGGCGGTTGTTTGCATGAGACGTTTCCTATAAGTCTCGGGCACTTGCATGTTTGATTCCCAGTTGGTGGCTACTTGAGGAGGATTAGAGATGTGGCCTTATTGGAGGAAGTATGTCCCTGGGGAGGGCTTTGAGGTTTCACAAGACTTCACCATTCCTCTCTGCTTCCTGTTTGCAGCTAAGGACTTCCACTGCCCCTCAAGCCGGCATGCTGGTGGCTTGCTACCATGCTTCCCTGCCATGGTGTTTTCTTACCCTCCGGAGCCCTAAGGCAAGTAACTGTTCCTTCTGTAAGTTGCCTTGGTTATGGTGTTTTATCACAGCGACAGAAAAGTGACTAAGACACATCCCTGCCAAGTCTCAAATGAACTTTGGTGACTCTCCCCTGCACATTTACTTTTCCTCTCAAACGAAATGCTGGCGATGAGTAGTTTCTGTGGGATAATGCTTTTGTACACTGGTCTGATAAAATGCTGATTGGCCAGTAGCCAGGCAGGAGGTATAGGCGAGATCAGCAGACAAGGAGAATTCTGGGAAGAGGAAGGCTGAGTCAAGAGATGCCATCCTGCCATCCAGGGAACAGCATGTAATAACATATAGGTAAAGCCACGGAACACGTGGCAACAAATAGATGAACAGAAATGGGCTGAATTGAAGTGCAAGAACTAGTCAGTGGATGGCCTGAGCTAGTGGCCGAGCAGTTTTAATTAATATAAGCCTCTGTGTGTTTACTTGGGTTTGAGTGGCTGTGGACCAGGCGGGACACAGGAAAACTTCAGCTACAAATAGTAACTAACCTCATTGCTTGCTGAGCCTCAGCTTATCTCAATACTCTTATTGAAGAAAGGACTGGAAGGTGGAACAGTGGAGAGCAGTGGCTAGTGGGGTCTCTTCTGCTGTGTGCACTGCTCTGAAGCCACGATCTACGGAATCTGGGGCGTCAGCTTTTGTCTCTAAAGCTTGCTAATGCTCTCAGAGTTGCTTCTGTTTCTGAAACACAACTCACTCAGCCCCTCCCATCACCCTCCCCACCATTCCTCATCACAACCATCCTTCCCCAGACATGACTACCAGCAACACAATTCTTCCCAGAAAGTATGGGTGACGGCAGCTTAGCTATGGGAGTTATCAACACTAGCCATGGGTTTCTTACGCCTATGCAACAGTATGTAGAATTGTCCATGTAGCGGGCTTCTGTAAATGTGCGTTTAATTAGAGAATGCCTCTCTGGCTGTGCGGGACCACTCTTATTCCTCTAAGTAACTATCAGTGTATTTACTGAAGGCTGAGCTGGGTAGCCATTGTACAATCTGATTTGGCAACTGTACAAAAATTGTACTCCAGATTATACATTAAAGCACTAATTACACAAATGGAACTCCAGGGACACCTTGGGTAGATGCAGTACAGTGAATTAAGGAAGGAAACAATTATTCACAATTATAGAAACTAGCTCTCACGGTAAGAGGGAGCCTATTTCCTGCAGCCCAGAGAACCTTGGTAATGGTTTAAGAACACAAGATAAGCATGATTTCTAAAAAAACAAGTAAGTAAAGGACGGACCGCCAAATTAAGTTACAAAAACGACTTTATTTTTGTTCCTATATACTACATAGCCAAATAACATTAAGACGTTTCCTTTCATGAACATGTATTATGACAAATCAGCTCTCAGTCCTTTTCTCGACAGTCCAAGAAGTTTGCCAGCGCTCGACAGTCTGAATGCACGGGAACATTGTAAACAAATGCAAAACACTGAGCAAGCACATAAGGCGTGGAGTGTCAACCCCAAAGAGTACATGGAGGGAGGACGGAGACGCAAACAAATGCATTAGGAGCCATTCAGGTCAGGGGTGAACACCTGCAATCCAGTGCCCGGGAAGGTGAGGCACGAGGTTCTCAAGTTCAAGGTCAGCCTGGGCTACAAAGCAAGGCCCTGGCTCAGACACCAAACCAAACCCTAAATACATAGTGGCTGCTATTTGGCCAATAAGTTAAGCTGTACATGTTATATATCCCTCTGATTAAAAAATAATTCCTCGGGGGCAGAGGGAGACTCTCTTCTCTCTCCCTTAAACATGAAGATGCCATCTTATTAGTGGGTGACTTTGGGAAAGGGGAATGGGGGACGGATACTTGTTTGGAAGGCTGATACCAAATTATTAGAAGGTCGGGAGTTAAATCGGAAAACTCACGGTGGCTCTAGTTAAGACTGTCTGAGTTTTCTTACTTTGTCTCTAAACAGACATGATGCAAACATCACGCAGACCGTTCCAGAAAGTCTCCTCCTGGCCACCGTGCCCTTTTGCTCACTTGAGTGTGACCCTGTTCTTGGGATTCTGGCCCAATGTAAACTATTCAGCACCATCTCATTCAGGAGTCACAGGATAACAGTAATGTAGTCTTATGCTCCGAGAAGCTGAAATGACATCCACATTTATGTTATTTGCAAGAGTAATGCTAACGGATTTTGTATCTGTGAGCCATTAATGTTACTGTTGAAATGCCAATACTGTTGATCGGGCATTTGGTATGAAATTGGATTAGAGAGTGAGATAAATTGAAACCATAAACTAGCATACTGTAAAAAACTGGACTTCTTTTGTTCCAAGAAACCCAAAAAAGGAATCCAAGTTGTCTCAGACCCTTCCGAAGCAGGACCTACAATCAAAATGAACAGAGTCTGTGGGGCAGGAACATTTCCCAAGCTGCCTGGAAAAGCAGGCCTGCTTGCTGCTCAAGACGCCATGGGGATTGTCAGATTTCATTATAACAGCAAGGAAGAGACGGGTGGGCAACATGAAGAACCTACATGTGTAGACACCGGATTTTATCTCATCAAGAATTTTGATATCCAAAACCAGACCAAATCCTGTAACAAGAAAACACAATACTCTCCTGAAGTGTTACCTTCTTGGGTGTGTTTGTGATGGAGAACAATTACATTAGTGTGTGGATTTGTGTAGGTGCTCATGCCATAGCACCTCTGTGGAGGCCGCCAGAGCACAACTTATGGGAGTTGGGTCTCTCCCCCCACTGTGTGGATCCTGGGAGTCAAACTCAGGTCCTTAGTCTGGGTGGCAAACGCCTTTTACCCACAAAGCCATCCTGCCAGTCCCTTAGGTGGGGCTCTGTTAGGACCTTCCAACCGGACAACCACCAGACAGCTGTTTGTTCTGCACTCCGTTTCTGGACTTCATTGCCCACCTTGAGCTTGACGCTGCCCCTGGAGTTAAGAATACAGATGGCACATTTGTGATGGGCACAGCAGTTTGCTGTGAATCAGAGGTTGGACAAAGAGCTGGCTGGTCCTCCTCAGGAAGAGCACTTGGAAAACACAGAGTGATGGACGAGGCAAACAGCCTCTGTGCACTGAGTTGGATCGAAGAACATTAGAAAAGTCAGCAGCTCAGGTACCTGAGTTTTCCATTGGAAGGCTAAATAGTGACCGAATGCATCTTACTCAAGAATGTGAACAAAAGCTTACTGTATTAAAAAGGATAAGAATCAGAAATTTTAAAGTCTTCAAAGTTAGGTTTGAGGCTTTGGAAGTTTTATAAAATCTAATAGAAAGATCTATGAATATTTTACTCTTGGTTAAAACATAAAGTCACAGAATTGTACTGATTTATTGGATGTTATTTACAACTTAGGTTGGGACTCAGCCTGCAGAATCATTACGAAAATAAATCAAATTATTTTGGAAGCTTGATAAAATTGAATTATTGGTGACTTAGTTATGAACTCACATGGGATTTTCAGTTAATGCCACATAGAGACTTCAGCATAAATATGGTATTTAACCTGAATAGATCCCCTTTGAAGGGTGATGCTGAAAATTACTATAAATTTTAACAATCAAGACAGTGCATTTGCTGACTTGGTTTACCTTTCCACAACAGGTTACTCATGCTCAATAACAGACAGTCTGCCCATACATTCCTTCTTTAAGACAGAGCTATTTCTGAATGTGATACATCACTTATACTCAGGACCTCCATATACTAAAATTGAATATTTCTTCATATAAGAAGTATAGCCATAACAGTAAAAAAAAAAAGTTTCATGACTGAAACTTTAAAGGGAAAACAGAAGCTCTTGCTCAACATGGCTGGCCCGTCACACAGATCTGTCCTTCATTCCTCATCCGCTCAAAATAATGAGCATCACCCAGTTGTTTGTTTTGTAGTGCCAGGTGACTAAGCTCAGCTTTGGGGCATGCTGCTGGACCAACTCTTCATCACTGAGCTACACCCCTTCAGCTCTGTCTTAAGTCAGATGAGGGCGATGTGTCTGCCCAGTGCCCCCCAGAGCTGCCTTCTGCATGTCAGAAAACAGGGCTGGCCAAGGTCACGGGGGCGAGGAAACCTTCTTCAAACAGGCCGTCCTTCCTACTCTCAGGGTTGAATTAAGGTGTTTCCTTACACTCAGTGAACCGTGGAGCACAAGTCCCCACACTAGGCTGGATTTTAGGAAGACATAGGTAAGGGAAAGCTCTGCCAGCCACCAGGCAGGAATTATTGCTGAGTGACAACACTCACAGGTGAGTCACACATCTGGGAAGTGAAAGGACCGACTTTAGTGAGAAGCGATTTTAAGCAGAGAGCTGAGGAGATCCCATGCTTGCGTCCCTAGCATCTGCATCAAGGGCAGGCTTACGGAAAGTGGATGACTATACATACGTATGTGCTGGGCTGTTCTGTTCGGCAGGCAGAACATGGCTGCACAGGGCCCAGGGAAGGGGCGGGGCCTGTGTGGAATAGCTTTTTAACAGAGTGCCTTAGCAGCAAGATTGTTTACCATCTGATGCATCCACATATCAAGACATCAAAAATGATTAAATTACTCAAAACAGGCTTCTAATTCTATGATTTAAAATTTAATTATCTGCCAGAATTTTAAAATGAATCTAATTTCCCAAAGGTTGCTCACCAGTACCACATGGCAATACTGAGGTGGACTGGGGTTGGGGGAGGGTTGTACTTAATTTTTACTGACAAATTTTAGGAGGTTGGTGAAAATACAAATCAGTTAAACAGCAAATGATAAATGAACACGGGGCTGGTGACCACTGGGGATTGCTTTCTTCACCCATCTGAAAAGCCCCTCTGAGGCTAACTGAAAATGTTGTTCAGGAAATAATATAATTGATAGTGTTGGAAGAGGGAGAATTTTCAAGACAATGCTCTGTGACAATGCACTTATGTGAACTACGGAGTGGAAAGCTGGCCAATGGGGAAGGCCACTGATATGAGGACAACCGGCCCAGACTCCTTGGTACACATGATGACGGTACTAACAGAGACCTGGACAAGTAGGAACAAGGTAAAAATGGTGTTGGCAAAGTTACCTTAACCCATTTAAAATATGCCAAAATGCACACGAGCTACATTCCTTTCCTTTCACAAGAATGAACTTAAGTAAAAAAACAAAACCCAAAGCCAGAAGGAACTACCCATTCCTGTTGGTAGGAAATAACAAGATGCATTAGCTTCCAGGACAAATAAAACTTAAAAATATTAACATTGAAAAAATACAATCAAATTTTTATTAAAAAATACATACTCCTTACTCAATCTTTGTGTACATTTTGTCTTGTGTGAAAAACAAAAAAACTAAAAAAAAAAAAAAAAACCAAAAATAATATAGGAAAGGCATTAGGATGACCTAACTCTTTATACTGTATTTGGTAGAAGCGTATTTCAGTCACGTTTTGATGAGAAATCAGCTACTCTGCTTTCATTTGCTCCCGGACATCTGAGGGCAGGGTCTCAAACAGAGCCTCTTCCACAACTAACCCAGCTCGCTTCAGAGCCCGGCAGTCTCCCAGCTCAGGAGGGAGGACTTCAAAGTGATTGCCTTTGATGTCTAGGTAGGAAAGAAATAGTAAATTTCCAATTTTTGGTGACAGTACGGAGAGGCTGTTTTTCCCAATCTTCAAAGTTTTAAGTTTCTTGCAAAAGTAGAGTTCGTCTGGAAGGCTCTCGACTTTGTTACAAGTGATGGAAAAATAGTGTAAACTCTGCAGAACTCCGATTTCGGGCGGGATGAAGCGAATGTCGTTGCAGGATAAATCCAGGTATCGGATTTTGTTGCATAGGAAGAGGTGGGAGGGTAACACCTCTACCTTATTGTGGCTGAAGTACAGTCGCTCCAGGCTGGTCAGTTTCTTGATGTGCTCTGGGATGTACGTGATGCTGTTGTACCACAGCTTGAGCACGGTGAGCTTTCTCAAGTGCTGGAAGCTCACGATTTCTTCTATTGACTTCAGGTTGTTTTCCTTCAGGTCCAGTTCCTGGAGGCTGAGGAGGCTGAACACGGCGTGGGGAATGCGCTCCAGGTCACAGTGCACCAGCTCCAGCTCTGTCAGGTTGACCAGCTTCTTCAGGTTGTTCAGCATCACCAGCTTGGTGCCGTCATTGTGGATGCACATCTTCTGGAGGTGACTGGACACGTCCGCCACGGCCTGAGGGATTTTGGAGACGTTGCTCTTGAGGGAGAGGATTTTAAGGCTTTTGAGATCCCGCAGAGACTCCAGGGTGACATTTTTGGAGATGTCGTGACTCAGAGAACCAACCAGGTAGAGCTCTTCCAGATTTCGGAGGCCGTACATCCAGGGGGGCAGCTCCCTCATGTCATCAAACTTGACGCTCAGGACTTTGAGGTTTTCCTTCAGGAAAGAGAGCGCTGCGCTGTGGATTTTGACAGAGCACTGGTGCAGGGAAAGCTCCTGGAGGTTGTCTAGCTGGGCGATGGTGGCGGGTATCATGACGTTCTTAATGATCTCCAGCTTCAGAGACTGCAGCTCTGTGATCTCAAACACGGTGTCTGGAAGGCCGGACAGCATGATCAGAGGCAGCTCCAGGCGGTTGTGGGCGTTCATCTGCAGCTTCTGCCTCAGTTTGTCGGGGGTCCACTCATTATTTAAATTGAGCTGCTTTAATTTGTTCTCGCTGACTTCAGACAGGAACACTGCAAACCTCTTGGAATAGAGAGGGTCATATTGGTCTATCATGTGGAGCATAAAGGCAAAGTCATTCTTCACATCCGGAATGTCATCGATTCCAGTTTCCTGCCGGACGTACTCGAAAGAATATTCCTTCAGAGAACGGTAGAAGAGCCAGTACAAGGTATAAAGGCACGTCAAGCCATAGATGCTCACGAAGCACAGGTAACAGAAGGATAGTTTAGAGAACAAATGAGCCATGGTGTGGTTGCAAGAAAAGTTTTTATAGCCCGTCATGTCCTGGATGTCCACGTTACAGTCCACTGTAAACTGGACTTTGGAAACCAGAGCGCTGTTATACGCAATGATGATTAGGAACTTGATAACCTTAAGCACGGTCTGCCGGACGTACATGGCGTACAGGATGTCACCTTCCTCCACGTGCAGCCTGAACTTCTTCACCTTCTCAAACAAGGCCTTCGCCTGCTCCCCTTCCTTTTTGTCCAGAGCTCCTGCCGTGGATTTGTCAACCACAAACTTCTCAGGAATTGACTTGAGAGACTGGGCGTTGACCAGATTGCCTTCAGGACCGGACTGGATGGTGTTGGGCCTGTTCATGTTGTTCTTCCTGTTATCTTTCTCTTCCGAGTCCTCCCCAGACACTTCGGAGAGCGCCCGTGTAGTCCACGGGGAGTCAAAGCACTTCCCCAGGATGGAGACGAAATGTTCTATCTTGGAACTGGAACCAGGGAATTTGAACCAAAAGTTGCTGCAGAGCATGAAGACCAGGGTGTGGATGAGCACAAGGTACGGGAAGTACTTGGCATACCAGTGGAGGGCTCGCTCGTAACATATCTGGTTGATGAAACTGTACTGTTGAAGGTCCAGGTCTGTCTTCAGTCCTTTCATCTCCACCGTGGCGGGGTTGGTGGGAGAGGGCTTAGGTGGAGGCAGTGGCGTGGTACTGATAACTGCCTGAGAGACATTGGAAAGGGAAGAGTGGTTCTGATCAGGCTGCACTCTTTTCGGAAGGCAGATGATCCTGTCTTGCATGACCTGAAATACAGAAATAATAGTTTCAAATTATATTACCCAAAGAGCTTTTGTAATGTCATTAGCGCAAGGAAAGTAGCAATAACATCCAATAAATGTCCATTTCCTCTGCCTGGAGAACATAACATTTGATTCCAGCACCACCAAGATTTTATTCTTAGCCCATGTTATGGAAAAATGAAATATCTGATTTTGTTCACCACATCAAAGATTGACACAAAGCAGTGGCATTGCTAGGGCATGGAACAAGTCAGGGCAACGTGAGTATTTAGGGACTCTTCAGTATTTTTAACCTTTGTATTTCTTCTATCACTGCGGCCTGGGAGAACCTTGCCTTGAACTGGATGGCTCTCACTGCCGTATTCGTTTGTGTATGGGACGTGCAAATGTTGGAAAGAGGAAATATGGAAACAGTTCCTGGTGTTCTTGTTTACTGCCTTCTTCCCACCCACACCATGCACCACACGCATGAGATTAGCATAACTGGCTGTGACGTACGGAAGCTTCCCCACGTTCTTTAGAGATCAGAGAGAGCATGAACAGTGCTCAATAGCGACCCATTCGTGCGGTAATTTGCTGCCTTGGAGAACAATCCTGAGCCCCTCTGCAGCTCTGCCAGGGCTCTGTTGAGAAGCCTATGGAGTCAGAACGTGGAGCAGCTCCTAGGGGAGCAACACAGAAGAGACGGGGCGGGGGGGGGGATGTCTGGGATGAGGCGGGGAACTCCTGAAAGCACCTTAGAGACACCACCCTCACCAAGAGGCTCAGGAACTTGGAACAATTTGGACAATGAGCAACAGTTCAGAGGACGAATAACAACCCAAGAGCACAGAGTAATGACGTATGGAGTGAACAATGCAGGGACAGTTGGTTTGGGGCTGGTGAGATAGATGGTGGATAAAGACACTGGTGTCTGGAGTTTGAGCCCGGGGACCTGCAAGGTGGAAGGAGAGAACTGACCTCCACACAGGCACCCACGAAAAAGTAAATGTAAACAGGAAGAAAACAGAACAAGTCTGTCTGTATCTTTAAAGGCTAGAAACCTGATTACAGAGGGAGAAGCTGAAGGCGTTTCGAAGCGGACCCTGGCGGCATAGTCCGTGATTACAAGAGGGTGACAGGGCACTGGAGCCCACCAGACAGACGCGCAAAGCTGACAACCAGCCGAGGACACGAGGCTTCGTAAAGCACGAGGTGCCCAGTGTTCGTCCACCTGCTAAGAGGCATCCAGGGCCCCCGCCAGCCCTTCTAGGTGTGGCCACTATCAATGTGGGCATGAAGCACGCCTCTCCTAGGGACGAGGATGAGGAGGATGATGGTGACAGCAGCACATGTATGTTGTGCTCAACACGCAACTCTCCCTATTCCAGTATCACGGGATTAATTCTGAATTGTCACTTTTACATTTCATTTAACGGGTATCATGTTGTCCAGGCTGGCTTCAAACATCCCATGTAGCTGGGGTCGACCCTGAATGCCTACTCTTCTTGTTTCTACCTCACAAGTGCTAGGATTCCAGGTGTGTGTCACTGTGCCTGGTTTAACTGTCACCTTAATCTCATAAGGCAGTATGCTTGTGATTCCCATTTTATAGTTCAAGAGACCAAGGCATTAAGTGACTTAAGTGATGTCATATAGCCTACATCCTGTCCTTATTTTACATAACTGATAGGTTTGAAAATAAATGTCTTTCTTTCTTTAATCATTTTTAAAAACATTTCTTTAAAGCTATGGTTAAAATTTTTTCACATATATATGTGCATGCGTCTGTGTGCACGTGTGTATGTGCGCACATGTGTGTGTGTGTGTGTGTGTGTGTGTGTGTGTGTGTGTGTGTGTGTGTGCATGTCACATGTGTTTCAATGCAACAGAGGCCAGGGAAGGGCGTCACATGCTCTAGAGCTGGAGTGACAAGCAGCCCAACATGGATGCTGGGAAACAAATCTGCATCCTCTAGAAGAGCCACAAGTGCTCTTAGCCACAGGGCCCTCTATTCACCAGCCTTCCTTTATTTTTAATTAAAAAATTATCTTAATTCTTTCTCAGTGAATTTTATACCTCTTTCAGCTCCTGTTACCCTCTCTCAACCTCCTCCTCCTGCCGAGAACTTTCCTCTTCCTAACAAATGCTGACCCTATTTTAAGTCTTTTATTGTGTGCCCACTTGGTTTAGTTGGGGTAGCTTCAGCAGGGTGCTCTCTTTCTTGAGGAATAGTTCGGAAATTTTAACAATCATGTGTTGAAAGTAATTTCCCCTTTGCATTTGAAAACACGGTTCCGTTTCCTCCTGTTTATTTGCTGGTGAGATGTTTGCTGCCAATTTAGTTCAGTGGTTTAGTGAGTGACCCATCTTTCTCTATGGTAGTTGGTGAGACTTTACTGAATCCTGGGTTTTCTAGGGTCACTTTATTCTTGGACACACGTGGATCCTCTCTGCTCCATACTGGAAACAAAGGACTCAACTCTCTGTGGTTTTAGAAAATATCTCCCAATGCTACTTCACACGCCCCCATCCCTCCCAGGGACACATGCCCTGTGGTCCCTCTTCCCTAGAAGGGAGCGCTCTGCAGTCCTCTCGATCTTGCTCAGACCTGGGAGAACCTGGAACTCACTTCTAATGCACCACTTCCTCAGGCAACTGCTGTGGGATGTCTGTACACTGTGTGAAGATGCGTTGCTGGGATTGGTGTAACAAACAGCTGAACGGCCAGTAGCTAGGCAGGAGAGAATAGGTGGGACTTCTGTGCAGAGAGGGCTCTGGGAAGAAGAAAGGAGATTTTGTCAGCCGACTTGGAGCAAGTTGGGTGTGCTCTACTGTGGCCTTCTGAGTGCTGAGATTATGCATGAGTGCAGCTTCATCTCAGCCCTTTTTTCAGTTTTCTTCACCCGTTCTGGGGAAAGTATGTTTGGAGTAGGGGGTGGTTTTCCACTACCTGAGTGTGCTCTTGTGATTTCTGTATCCATCTGGCCCTGGGGGCCATCCCTAGGCATTTCCACAGAGCTCTGGCATTTCACTGGGGGTGTTATCACCTTCCAGGTCCATGCTGGGAGATGGCAGTGAGCAGGCTGACTGGAGCTCTGGTTGGGAGGTACCCTAGGGCACTTTCCTCTGAGGCACCAGCTTTAGCTTCTGGTCCATTATCCTTCTTCCAGATCCTCCTGGGAACAGAAGCTTTGGCTTCAAAGAGTGACCAGACTCCAGGCTCTTATCTTGCCAGGAATGCTTCTAGTTGGCTTTGATGGCAGGAGCCGTGGTCCATTGCTGCTTGGTTTTGGAAGGAAGCCTGGTAGTTGATTTAAGTGTTCCATTCCTGCTCCAAGGACATGCTTGTCGGGGTTTGCAGCCCACCTGTGCGCTTTGCTGTCTTACCCTTCATGACTCTACACCTAGATGGGGAGTGTTCTGGAGTCTAGCATTTTACGAGGTTTTCCATAATCACGTGTGTACATGACTAACAAAGTTAGTCATGATACAACACTCATCCGCAGTTCCAATGTATCCTTTAGTCTGCGGTTTACAATCTGAAAAGACAGGGCTCCACAGTGGTTATGGGTATTGTTGCTCTGTTTGGTTAAGGCAGATTGTTCTTGTTGTTGGTGTTTTGGTTTTCTGAGACAGGGTTTCTCTGTGTAGTATGTAACTTTCTCTGCCGACCAGGCTGGCTTCAAACTCACAGAGATCTGCCTGCTTCTGCCTCCCAAGTGCCAGGATTAAAGGCATGAGTCATCATCACCTTAAGACAGATTTTTTTTTAAAGGAATAGTCTTTTAATTTCTTTGGTAATTTCACATACATATACAATGTATCTTAATCATATCCAACCCAAATCTCCTCTCCTACTCACCTAGACTTTCCCAGTACCCCTCTTATGCTTCTTCTTTTTAATTTTTAATAACTGAGTCCAATTAGTGATGCCTGAATGCCCATTGGAGTGTGGACAACCTATCATCGACCACATCCCTGAAGAAAAATGATTCCTCCTCAAACAGACACCAACTGCCAGCAGCTTCTCAGCTAGGGGTGGCTCTTCATGAGCCTGTCCTCCACCCACACCGGGACTCTGACTGGCTTGCTCTTTCCTGGGCAGGTAAGCACAACTGCCGTGAGATTATGAAGGCAATGGCCATGTCACGGCCAGAAGACAGTGTTCCACAGCCCTCCTCCCATCCTGTGGCTCTTACATTCATCCTTTCTGCCCCTTCTTCCTTGATAATCCACAACTTGTTGGTCGGGGGATTGATATGGATGCCCCAACAGTCCTCATTCTCAACACTCTAACAAGTTGAATCTCTGTGTAGACCGCTTTTGAGACAGGGTCTCATGTATCACAGATACATGGCCTTGGATTTGCTAAGAAGCTTAAGAGTGACCCTGAACTCATGATCCTCCTGTCTCTATCTTCCAAGTGGCTGAGGCATGTCCAAACCACCATACTTGATTTGGACAATGCTAGGGATGGAACCCAGGGCTTTGTGCATGCTAGGCAAGGACTCCACCGATTGAGCTACAATTTTGCAGCTGTGGCAGATTTGGTTCAAGCTGGTAGAATAGACCAATGAAAAGGCAGGTGAACTATACCAGAGATATTCAGCCTTTTATAAGAGGCGACTTGGCAGTGTAAGTCATTTTATTTTGGCAATAGTGAAGCAACACAGATCATCATAACGTTACTCTTGAGTAACCGTTCTATTAAATATACCTTGTATGTACTAGTTGTCTCTGTCAGTCTCCATTCACGCCTTAGAGATGCACACAGCTGGTACTAAATATGATACCCCAAAGCATTGATAACCAGAGGTGTCCCAAATCAGACAGGGCAAATCAAGTTATCCCTGCTGTCCTAAGAAAGACTCAGTGACAAATGCACCCCCAAGCTGTATTCTCCATGGCTGGTTTAGAGACACCGAGGAAGCGGTTCTTTATCAGCTAACGCTGACGGAGTGTCTGCTATACGACTAACACCACAGGAAAGGAAAGGGGCACAAACCATGCTTGCTCTACAG